GGGGGGGGGGGGGGGGGGTATGGGACGGAGCAGGGAGCAGGGACAGCGGTTTGAGCTTTAGCAGCTGAGGTCGCAGAATTCCTGGATGCGGAGGCTTGCGCTATGCCTTTTTCTTTTTTTTGTCGTTGATGTTTCGGTGCCGGGCCGGGCCATGTGCAAAAGGCCGCCCGCTTGGCCCGACAACGTGGCCTCGAGGAAGCCTTGCTCTTCCTAGCGCAGCCAGGCCCTCGGAAGGCCTGCATGAGGGTGGCGGAATTGCATCTGTCACGTGTCCGCAATTAAGGGGTTGGAGGAGATGTGAGGCGCAAATGTGCTTACAGGGCACAGCTGGTGCAACCGAAGATTCCTGGGCGCGAGGAGGGCGGCTCGGTGCCGTCGACCTGGGAGGGCATCGCACCTTTTCAGGAGGCCTCTGCCCTTGCAAGTCGAAGTCGAAGCCTCCAAGCTGACCGAACTGCCAGCAGGCGGTCCTAACCGTGTCCTTGGCGCAGCTCCTTGCCGCTACCTCCGAGCAGAAGGCACTAGTGGCACTAGTGCAGCTGGCGCTCAACCAGGGGATCGCAGTTTGGGCGCAGGTGGCGTTGATCCTGGCTTTACTGAACGGGCGGGTCCCAGTGAGGCAGCACTCTTTGCGAACGGCTCTCGAGGACAAGGCTTAGAGAGAGAACACGGGAGGCTCATGAACGAGCTCCTAGTCGCGGCGGCGGAGGCAACAGAAGAGTCAGCAGTCAGCAGAGCTGAGCAGGAAGAATCTCGAGATCTCAGGACGATGCTGTCCCTGCAGCCCTTGTGTCCAAGCTGGCTGCGCAACTAAGAGGTCGGTGCTGGTCTCAGTTTCTTGGGGCTCTTCCGGGATTCCGGCGTCTAAGTCCAGGTCATCCTAGCCATGCCGTCTATCGCCGTCTATTCAGCTGGCAAAAGAAAAGCAAGCCGTCGAGTCGGGCTTCAAACTGACAACATCAGCCCTTGAAAAGTCAGCTTGCACGAAGCCTTGAGAGACTGGGACCCAACCATGCCTGCAAATAGTGCTGACAAGCTCAAGCTTCAAGCAAACCGTTGCTGCATAAGCAATGAAATGCCCCCAATCCATCGCAGACCTTTTTTCCTTGTCGTGGTGCGCAGATGCTCGTGTTTGCAAGCTGACCTTGAAGCGCTGCAAAGGGACGCTTGCTGTGGTGCATTAAGTGATCCTGCAGCTGGTGGCCACAACTGTTCTGAGGACGCTAAACGACCGTCGCAGCCAGCAGTTCAGTCAGCTGATTCACGTGCGATCGCCTTACCAAGAGCAAGAGCAAGCTTGTCACCGGAGCAGTTCTTGGCCAGGCGTTTTTTTCTGAACTGCAAAACTTGCAGGTTGCGGGCCAGGAAGGACAAGAAAGACAGCAAGTACGTCAGTGCCCTGGTGGGCGCTCCGCTCAAGGAGGTGAGCACAGGTTTTTCTCAGCCTTTTCCACCCTAAACTCGTAGACCCCAACTCGATCTATGCCCCATAAAGAGTATGTGATCTGAAGCAGCTGAGCGAAAGCACCTAAAAAAGGGTTCTAAATCCGGTTTCAGACTCGAGCCGCCGGAAAAAGGGATCCACAAAAAAGGCACCCGCAAACTCCCAAACCCTAAGGCAGTCCCAGATCCAATAAAAGCAAATCTAGAAACCAACAACTCCTAAAAGCTCCTATAGACCTAAAGCCCTCGAGCGGCAGGAGATTTGGAGGCCGGCCTTTGAGCCCAAGTTCGTCGTCCCCTTGGCTTCTGATTCTTTAAACACTCGGTTCAAGACACGGGCGCCCGGAAACCCCCCCTTAAAGGGCCCAGACTTAGGTTTGGCGAGGGCGCAAGAATGAGATCATCTGCAAGCAGCTGGATGGTCTCTTCTTACAGGCCTGGGAGTAGAGAGCTTCGAGGTTTCTTTCGCTGACTCCGAGAGCTCCGTTCCCGCTTTTTGAGGAGAACACTCTGCTTGGTTGGGCCTTGTCACCGTCAGCTCTGGACGGTGCGTTAGCCCCCCCGTCCAAAGCACATCTCACAGAGGCACGGAACAGCGTCAGCTTTCGCCTTGCGCCCTTTCTTTGAAGACTTTGTGGCTTTGAAGGCCGGCTCCAAGGAGTGGGAAGGCCTGGGCCGTGCCACGCGGCAGCGGATCGACGGACTGCAAAAAGGCCCGTCCTCGCGGCCCCGCGGCCCCGCGGCCCTGATTGCATATGCGCCTCTTTCTGGTGCCCGCCATGGCGCCTGCCAGGCTTGCAGAACAAGCTGACCAGTTCGCAAGACCAGGCTGAGATGGTGCCGAAAGAGCATGGAGTGTAGAGATACTGACGAGCAGATCACAGAATTTCAGGCAGCAGAATTCGTTGACATCCTTCTGAGAGCCGGGGTCTGCCACCCGGTCCTACGATGTGCTGATTGAAAAAAAAATCGCATGGTGCAAGATCTCAGCATCCCAAGGATGAGCCGCGCATGGCCGTGCTCGAGTGGTTGGGGGTTTCGAGCCCGCATGGTCTCTGCAGGGTGTGTGGTTGTCGACAAAAAATTTCGGGTTGCTTGAGGCTGTCGTCACGGCTGCGGAACCTCGCGGCCGGCAAGGTCAGCCAGCACCAGAGGGGTCTTGGCCTCGGTGGCTTCTTCCTTGAAGCTCCTTAGGGTTTTCCTCCAAGACTCTTAAAACGAGACCTTTGAGCCTGAGCATCCAGGTTCAATTTCTGGCCCCAGTACGGCAACATCGTGATTGACAACATGCAGCAGACGAACGTGGACTCTGGCGCCTTCGTGAAATCCTTGAAGAACTTGCTCCTTCTGCAGGCCGACGTGGTGCTGCTGCTATAAGCCGTGAGATGATAAGACGATTACGACTAGCATCATCGTCATTGCTGCTATGGCTATCGTGGTAGTTGTTATCATCATCATTATTCTTGTTGTGTTTAGTAGTAGGAGGATAGTCGATCTTCTGGTCGTCGCGACATCAACGTTTGTACATCTGTTGTCTGAATAGCACTCAGCAGAGACTCAGCCACACAGCTATCGTATCAGTATTGAACTTCACCACCGCCACCACCACCACCGCCACCACCATCATATCATCATCACGATAGCCAGCATCTTCATCTTCGTCTGCATCACTGTGCAGCTGCATTAGCCTCAGCATCCGAATCAGAATCACGATCATAATAGCGACCATAGACAAAGCACAACATGTCAAATGCGTGTAATGAGCATGTTGAACTGACATAGACTAGATCAGAAACGGCCTAATGGTAAGTACGTGCAAGAAGATGACAACATGAACAGCCACAATACGTGAGACCACTCCATGTAAATCCGGTAGCTACATCTCCCAAGTTTTCGGTTGATGTGTCTTTCTTCGTTTGGGTTGTTTTGGGTCTTATTTGGGCATTCTGGTGGCTAAAGGGGTTGGTCGTGGGTTGTCATGGCTCCAAGGTGCAGGGCCAGACACGAGAATGGAAATGTCATCACTAGCAGCGGCTGTAGCAGAAAAGTAGTAACTAGCGTAGCAAGCTCGGATGATAGCAAGAGTAGTCAATAAGAAGAACAACAGTATTGAGCATAGCTCGGAGATGATGTGCTGCCGCAGCAATTATACGGGGTCTTTCAACTTAGACGAAACCTTGATTGGGGCGATCCTACTTTGGACTTCCCACTGAGCAGCTGCTTCCTATCTCGCCCGAGCTTCCAAGCGATTGCTCGAGTTTCCATGTTGACACGACAGGCTATTCATGCTCGTCTTCAAGGTTTCCCAACGAGTGGCGCAGCCTTGAACACGTTCACATTGCTGAGACCTTAAACTGTCAACACACAGGAGCACTACGCAATTGGAACATCTTGCAAACCCAGGCTGTTGCATCTGATCAAGCCCATCAAATCAGAACAGGCTGCGACCATCTCGGCTCGCTCCTGAGTGACGACTGCTAGCTACCGGGGCCTGCTTTTAGGCAAGTGGCGGAAGTTACTGGAGTAGCCTCAGCTTTCTTTGGCTTCGATAGGCGAACGAGCCCACTGTAGCTTTGCCGCAAGGCATCTCTTTTATGAGCAGTTGGAAGTCAGGCGATCTTTTGAGGACCAGGCCTACCGTGGGTGTCGAAGGAATAGAAAAGGATCTCAAACATCGTCAGATGACGGCAAAGCCGCACAAACAAGAGACATATCATACGAGAATGCGGGGACAGGACTATGAGCATGTACGAAAATCGGAACATACGAGTGTAGTAAGAAGAGTTGAAGAAGACCAGAAATGGATCAAACTACAAACTTGAGAGAGTTCTGGAGAGAACAGAATTCTAAACGTCTCGCTGTTTGTAATCAAGAGAAGTGGCCTGCCTAGTGGGGATGATGGTGATAAGTATTAGTGAATATCTTGAACAAAATCTTCGTCTTGGGGGCATCTGAATCGTGATCGCTCCAAGTCACCCCATAAGAAGCTGCGATGGTTTCTGGTTTCTGGGGTCCTGGGAGCATCTCGGTCAGTCCTTTCCGTTCAGGCGTTCTTGCCTTTGCGAGACGATATTCCGCAGCTGCTTGGAAACTACAAGAAGGAGGCAACCAGCAAGTTGAGTCCCAAGCCCCGAGCCACCAGGTCTTGTGCCAAGTAGACAGACTCTGCATAGAGTATGTAGCAATACGGAGATTTGCATTCTATCCTTTCCTTGCCCTGCGGATCTCTGAAATACTGTGAGTTTTTGCTGTTTCAGCGTTTCATGGTTATGACCACTCTTGCTATTTATTACACTGTGCTTTTGCTGCTGCCACACTGCTACTGCTGTTGCTTTCCTGCGACGACGACTAGTACTAAGCAACGACGACGACTACCACTACCACTACCAACAGCACCACGACTACTGCTTGTTCTTCTTCCTACAACCGTACAAACGGTAGTTAGTAGTAGCAGTAGTAGTAGCAGT